TGAATCTAGCCTTCCTCCCTTGTTCATACCTCTTACTCTATCCTCTTGAGATGAATAATTCTTTTATAGCAATAATTAATTAATTAATAGCCAAGGACTTAGCAGATATGAGTGATGCCAAATCAAATTAAGTTGTATTATATTCTCAGGAAAAGAAACTCTTAAACTTGCAAGGTCAGAATGCCTATCACTTCCTTTATTAACTTCCTCTTTTAAGCTTCTGTCTCTGGGGACAGCAGCTGAAAAGCTGTACTGCCGATCTACATGGACTATCTGAAAAACTCAGGCAGTGAAAACTCCTCGATCATAATCACTTTATTACCAGGTGTTTAGGGGCTGAATATGACTGGGGCTGTGGCATGCTTCTAATAACTCCTTCAATTTCACAAGCACCACCACAAGACAGAAAGGATTCCTCATTAGACAGTGCCCAACGGACAGAGGGATTACAGCACTCCCACTGTGTCACCCCAACCCCTGCCCCCAGCCAGGGAAGTGTTAAATGTCACACCACCTTGCCAGTTAGGATTTAGGAGCCCTCAGTTCCTTTCACGAAACTTCCTGTTCTTATACCTCCTAAAATAATTTAGAAAAAATTGTATCCTATTTTTAAGTTAACACCTGAAATTATATATCAAGTTTAGATAGTTGAAAAAGATGTGATTTCTGACATATTATGTAGTATGAGTTTTATATATGTTTTTGTCAAAACTTTGGTACTGCAGATTTAGCTTATTAAATTTACAGGAAAGAAGCACTATGTAATCTAATTGACAAAGATGGTTTCTATGGTCAAACTGTCCAGCCAAATCAGTCTTGCTTTCCGTCAGATCCAAGTCTGATTTCAGTTTTTCAGTTCAAATAAATAGATTAGTGCACACTTCATGACAACCGTCTCACTTCTGAACATGAATTCTCAGATCTATGATGAGGGCACACAACCTTGCCAAGAGCTTATTGCCTGGATGAAATAAGGGAGTATCTCTTTTACCGTTTCTTGCCCTGCTCTTTTGGGACTCCCGTCAGAAGCAAGGCACTGTAAAATTATCCCATGGTAAGATTCAGGAGGGTAAGAGGGCCGTGCTGCTTTTTTGAAGTGGGAGTGAGGTGATTGTGAATGTGGGAGTGGCTGGAGAGAGAACTGTAGATCACAGGCGTGCTCTTGGAAAGGTCAGCTTTACAAAGAGCATGTATGGGAGTTATAGTCTGAACATTTATTTCCTTAGAAGTACCCATGCCCAGACACCCCCTGGAAAGTCATTGTGTGCCACAAGGGTCTGTGTACCCCAGGTTTTTTGGTTTTGTTTTTTTTTTTTTGAGGAAGATTAGGCCTGAGCTAACTACTGCTAGTCCTCCTCTTTTTGCTGAGGAGGACTAGCCCTGAGCTAACATCCGTGCCCATCTTCCTCTACTTTATACATGGGACACCTGCCACAGCATGGCTTTTTGCCAAGCAGTGCCGTGTCCGTACCCGGGATCCGAAGCGGCGAACCCCAGGCCGCCTGAGAAGTGGAATGTGCGAACTTAACTGCTGTGCCACCAGGCCGGCCCCAGCATACCCCAGTTTTAAAGCCACTGCTTTTAGATACAACAGCACTCTCAAACTACATCATTCTGTGACTGAGGCCAGTTAACCAGGCTTCACTCAATATTTGTCCTTAGCAGTGTTTGCCAGGGCCTGTCTTTTCTAGAGACCTGTCCGGTAGAAGTGTCAGAACCCTGGAACTCAGCCCTTCTTTCTATTTAATACCTATATTTCACTAGGTTGGGAGCTCTCATAAAAAAACTCTCCAAGCAAGCAAAGAAGGGCACTGTTGCTCTCCAGAAGTTTAAGGGCATTTGGGGATAGAAACACACTTGGTCTGGAATGCAGTGTTTCAGATGTCAGAACTAGGAACATTGAAGGAAGTTTAGGAGGAGGCAGTTGTTGATTCAGGAAAAGAAGGAAGGGAGGTTGAAGAAGGGAGCCAACATTTTTAACCATTTATGTTGCATAAAATACATAAAACTTTCACAGTAACCCTGTAGATAGATAGTATTACCATGAGGAAACTGAGAGTCAGGTTGAGTAACTCACCCAAGGCCCCACAGCTCCTTAGTGCCAGAGGAGGGGTTTCAACCTAGTTCAGTCTGGTAACTTCAAAGCCATTAAATAATGCTGCCTCTCGCTTGGTAAATACCTACTACAGAAGGGGCTGCCTATCTAACACCCTTAGTTCATTCTCAGAACAACAGCAACAACAAAACAGACGCTAAAAAGAATTTCAGCAATCTCTGAATCCCACTCCAGTTATCAATCCGAGTGTGACCAGTAGATGTTTCAGAGGACAGTAAGTGGCTGGGGGGGAAAGCTGTGTTACTCCCCTTGGACAAAGTAGAGACTTTTACAGACTAGTTAAGATAAAATCTTATGAACAGAGACCCTCTTACAGACAAAATGAAGAAGGAGCATTCAGGAGATGATATCTCACATTCATTATATTGTGTGGCCCTCCAGGAGCAACCACACACAAGGTGAGCAAAGCTCTATGCTGTAGATTCAGTTAAGATCCCTTTTCTTCTTCATTAGTGTGAAAAACAGGTTATTAATTAATTATGAAAATAAATATGCTTTATTTGAAGAAGCTCCTCTGGAAAAAAATATTCTCTCTCTCTCTCTCACCTACTAGGCTGTAAAGTGCATGACAGCAACTACCGTGTCCTCCTTCTTTGTTGTTGTGCCTTGCATCATGCCAGAATCCCAAGGACTCGTGCTTTTAAACTATGAGATGAACTATATCTTTCACGCCCACAAACAGGTCTCTTTTAGGATAATGAGAAAATGGTTTTGTCAGTCAAGGCTTCTGATCTTTTCCCCAAGCCAGCTCTACAAGTCTCATAGTAAAGAACCTGGCAACTCAGAAAGAACTTAATTTATTTATAATTTCATTATACTCAGTTTTGCGGGGGTTATTGACCTCTTTGTGAATGTGATGAAAGTTATGGCCTCTCTCAGAGAAACACACAAGACAAAATTTTGTCTGCAATCCTAGTAGGTTCATGAACCCTTTAAACTATGCATCTCAAGTTAAGAATGCTAAAAAGTGACCTGCAGCTTAAGGAAAGGGCACAGTCGCCATGCCAGACCACTCGTATCTGAAGGAGAATTGCCAAGAGAACGATAAGAGCTTGCTTCGATTGTAACACCCAAGGGGAGAATACGGTGCCTTGATTCTGGGGAGACTCTTTCGTAAAGAGCCCTTTGTTCCCTTTAGGACAGATGCCACCAAACACTGCTCCTTAATGACCGTCCTCTGTCCAGCCCTTGCTAGCATGCACCCTTCATCCCGTGCTTGGACAACAGGCAGAAAATGGGGCAGAGTTTTGGATAGTGAAGGTTGCTGAATTGCTTCTTTTGGCCCCTAGAGTAAACTTACCTTAATTTCAGGCTCCGTGTCCTGAGATGTTTTCACCCTTAGTAGGAATACTACAAATCTCTTGTCTAGGATATTTTCCCTTAAAGTCTTTCCCAAATGGATGCAAAAAAGCACGGATTTTATATAGACTTAGATAATCCCTTGTGAGATAAAAAATTTCTAGGTCGTGCCTGGGAGCTGATGCACCCAGGCCTTTCCTCTTCCCTGGCTCCCGTCTCTACCAAAGGAGATTTTACCTCACTTCCACACTCCCGCCTTGACTACTTCAGACTTCCTCCAGCTGAAACTAATCCTTAAATTTTAAGGACACAGACTTTACTATGTGACCGAGGATTTTACATCTCTCAGAGCATCACTTTCTTCATCTGCAAAATGAGGATGACATTAATAGTAGTCCTTACATCCTAGGATTGTTGCGAGGAGTAAGAGAAAAAGAATGGGTTGGGAGTGCCTAGCTCAGTGCCCATGGCATGCAGTAAGCACTGGATGCACTTGGCTCTTGGTATTTTAAGGAGTGGCCTCTAGAAGTGGTGGAGAAGAAACAGAGCATTTGCTGGCTCTGTGTTAAGTGTGCTTGCTCCTGCCCCGTCTTTTTCTGGCCCTGCCTTTTTCCTGCCCCAAGCCCTGTATCCTTCAATCCTCCCAAGACCAAGGCACAGAGGCTCTAACCCTGACCGCCTGAGGTCCTGGCTGTGCTTCTGGGACTCTCAGCTCATTTTTTGGCCACTGACGTATCACCGGCATCTGGGATACCCTGGTCAGAGCGGTAATGACTGACTGTTCCTGTCAACTTCCTCCCTTCCGCTTGCTTTTATTTCTTACTTCCTTTTTAAAAACAGCTCTTCATTGAACACTTCTATGTGCGTAGCACAACACTAGTGCTAGATAAACAGTAGTTAATAAAATAGACAGTACTGCTACTCTTTTATGCTCCAGTGGCAGGTACAGGGGAAAGTAAATAGCAAACAAATAATGTATAGGATGTGACAAGGGCTGTGAAGAAATGAGGTGGAGATGAGAGTAACCAAGGAGTCCTGCTTAAACAGAGTACCTGCTCTGAAGAGGTGACGTTTGAACCAGTGACTCTCCCTCTGGCCTGAATTGAAACCTTGGCTTTATTCCCAGTGAGAAGTGCCATTGGGCGTGCAGAATGCTAGCTTCTCTTTGTTTTTCTCTCCTGACAATAGATGGCTTAAGGCTTAAGGGAAGTTAAACTCCTGATTTTTACCAGCAATTTATTTTGTCAAGTAAGTTAAAAAATACTCTGACCCCCACCTGCTGCTTTAAATATCTATTCATTTACTTTGTACCAGGCACTATGCGTTTTATGTGTATTATCTTATTTAATATCCTCCAATAACCCAAGAAAGTAGATTTTATTATCATCATCGTCCCTGTAGCAAATAAAGAAAGCAGAACTTAGAGAGGCTCAGTAACTTGCCCATGGCCACGGTGCCCAACAGGGTTAGGTGGGGTTAGGACTCCCCAGGTATATCCGACAGCAGCCTGTGCCTGCCACCACTAGACTAGGCCGCCTCCCTTCCTGTGATGTCCTAACTCACCTGCTTCTCCTTTCCTTTGTAGTGGTGCCAGTGAAGAAGAGGACACTTGAAGGCTGGCCGTCCCCAGTGGAAAATCATTCCTTCCCTTGTGTGTATGTGACAGCGTGTATGTAACGGCTTCTGATTTCTGTGAAAGCTGCCCGGCAACAAATGTACTTCCACCGGATACACCCCTGGATCCCCAGCAGGCACATGTCTCTCCAAGGGATGACCAGTTTTGTCATTACTGACTGTGCTGCTCATTCTGTTGTCGTGATAGGTCAGGGGAAAGTGCCCCTTTGATCAACCAGGAGCAATTAAGGGTCCTTCAGTTAATCCCTCAATGGCTGCTTTGAACTTACTCAGGAAAGCCAGCCCCTATAATATTGTATACCCAAATAATATTGCTTCATTAGGAAGGATCTGGAATAACCTTGAAGAGCACTCAGAATTTTTTTCCCTACCTGCTAAGAAAACCCCACTTTATTCACACTGAAGCATGAAATAGATGAGGGCAAAGTGGGGCCAGATCAACCCGTAGACAGTCTCTAACAGCCCAGTCATACATTTGTGAGAACATGGCTTCACGAGACAGGATGGATGGCTGAAGAATGGGGTTGGAGACAAGTTAAAAGTTAGAAATAGAGAGAGAAAGTTTTAGTACATGAGGTTATCCAGGACTTCAGATTCATAATTCAGTGCTGTGGAAATGAGAAAAATGATTGAAGAGGTAGAAAGGAAATGACTTTAAGAAAAAAAAAAACAGGACCAAAGAGATCTGATTAAAAGTTGAAATCAGTATTTCTGAACTCAAATTGCCTGAGTTTCCAAATAGTCACTAAAAGGATCTGATGGAACCTGAATTATTTGGGTCAATTCTGCAGGTTTTATGGGTCTTGTCACAACATGAAAGGCTGGAATGTATATTACCAAATGGGAATTTTTCAGTGTAGGTTTTGGTCCCCGTCCCCCAGCTTAGTCTAGTTTGGCCTCAATGCCTTGTGGGGAGAATTCTTGTCACTCGTGGTGTGCTGAACCAAGCTCCGTCTCCCAGCAGAGAGCCCCTCCTTTTACTCTGGCTGGAACCCTCCTTTTCATGGCCTCCCCACCCACAGACCTTCGGATCAGCTCCCACACCCTGGCCCTCCCCTCTGCAGTAACATGAGCAGAGACCCGCTATGCTTGGACTTCGGGCCCTTCCCCGCTCCCAAATCCCATTTCCTTAGAACACTTTTACTCCCAAGGAAGCAGTCATGTACTAGGCAACGTAAGACTGCAAGCTAAAAAATCTACATCTTCCGAAACATCTGTTTTACTTTACAAATGGTTTGGAGTCAGGGGATGACCTTATTTTTAGATAAAACAGTTATATTATGAAATAGAATGTTCATACACATAAAGAACTAAGATAAAATGGGAGACTTCACAGGAAATTCTTATTTGCAAGCGGGGTCTGTGTTCTCTTTCCTCTGCCTTCCGTGGCGTTGGGTGTTCACTTCTGAGAAGTACAACTGGAACTGTGTCGAAGCGGCCTTGGGTTGCTGCTGACTCAGGGCCTGGACTTCTAGTGCCTCTGAGGCAGCACCAGAGGAGCCTGCAGTGGAGGGGTCCCTCTCTTCCTGCTGCCTGCCTGTGGCCTGTGTGCCAATCACTGAAGGTGCAGGGTGAGCTGATGTGTGTGTGCGGGATGGTTTCAAGGCAGAAACAGTACTTACTTACTGTAGGAATCCTATTTATATCATTGTTCAATCTTGTGCATGCTATGAAATAATTATTTCTTTGAGGCCAGGGAGCTACTAGGCATATATGCTTCTGGGTTAGGATTACCCTAGCTCACTAAATATGTCAGAATGTTGACAAGGGCTGAGAGTAGGTTGGGCTGTTTAAAAAAAGAAAAAATGGAATTTTTCTCTCACTGGTGGCAGGCAAATGGCCATGGCTGTTTTGATGCTTTACCTGTCTGCCTGCAAAGACTGGGAAATTTGGTATAGCACTAATTACAGCCCCTGACCGTATCCAACAGAGCTACCCTTCAGGAAGAAGGAGCAATGGCCACTCTTTTTTTAAAAAGTTTAAAAATCAGGAGATGAAGACGACTTTAGGTTTGGAAGCTCAGATTGTCTTTCCCCGATAATTACTGTTTAATCTTCAAATAGCCTTGTTTTAGCAGTGGGCAGATCATTGGCTCTTCATACCTGACCATATGTCATTACTTTAATTCGGTATTTGGGAAACCCAAGCGTTTATGCAGTGGGTATGAACGGGAATATAAAAATACATGCCAGCCTGTCTCAATAAATTATCCTGTCTCTGTAATCCTCGAGGAAAGCACTTTTGCTTTTACTTAGAAAGGATTTCAGATTTGCTTTATGGGCTCCTGCTGTCTTCAGCACCTGATAAAACTTTAACCAAGGAAGCATTAAACACAGCACAGCAGCTTCTGCCCAGGCTCCGGAGTTCCTGCCTGCAGCATTTATCAATGTAGGAATTGGGATGCTTCCTGCAGTGGCACCAGCTTCCCCTAAACCTGGAGCATGCTGCTCGACCCCAAGCCCCAGTGTGTGTGAGGCCTCCCTCCTGCCAGGTCAGTAGAAGGTAGAGCGCTCACAATTGTGTCCTGACTGGCTGCAGGGTTTGCAAGAATCCCTAGGGAGAAGTCATCCAGGGAGGCAGGTAATGAATGTCTCCAGAGTGGATTGGGTCCTCACAGCAACCCCTGGCTGCCTTCCAAATGTTGGGTATCTGGAGGGTTGAGGGGGCGTTTGTCCTTTGATTTGATGTCATTAAATCCAGGGCAATTCCAAGAAGTGCTTGGAGTCTCAGCTCTGACAGTCCAGGAAGGAAGCTGGCCTATATTGAGAGCCAGCTAATAGCCGGGCCCTGTACTAGGCCTTATTTCTGAGAGGATAAAGCAATTTGGAGTGGGTGAGTCACTTGCCTTGAGTTACACATCTCGAAAATATTGCACCTAGCTCCCCTAATCTGCAGCCATGGTACGCCTCAAGTACAGAGGGAGCAAAGGCCTGCAGACACTGCGGTCCGACTGGACACTTCATGAGTTCGTTTTCAAAATTACATTTTCTGGCTGTAGCTTGGACTCAGAAATGGCATCAAGGTAGCCCTATTCTTCCACTTTAGAAGATGCATTAAGTACATATTGCTAACTTGAGCCTGCCCCCAGAAGTTGGGGGAGCCCTTCCTTTTGGTGCCGTTCCCCATAAATAAAATGGAGGCCTTCAAGAGTGAGGTGAGAGCCCTGAAGGAGTCTGCACTCCAGCCTATTCCACGATGTGGAATGGTACGGGAAGTTTGGATATCCAGACATTTTGGTGACCTGAGTCTGACCACTCCAGTCAGGCCTGAGGGCACAGCTGCAGAATTCAGGACTTGTAGTAGTGGCAGAGCCTGGAAAGTCCTCTCCCCCACCTAGAAAACATTCTCTTGCCAATACCTGAAATTCCACACTCACATGATGAGTGTTCTATACATGCTTTTCGGTAAGAAAATCAGTTGCGTGTGTACTGTTTGCCTAGCACATCTGGAATTTTCTGTTTGAAAAACGTATCTCGTTATGAATGGACTCAGCCTAGCCCTAAGAGTCCATGGCACAGGGGAGACTTCAGATCTCATTAATAATGCCTCTACCCAGCAGTGTTTCTGAATTGCCACCGTAACCCATCCAAGACCTCTGTGGCCCAGACAGTTCCTGCCCTCTAGGGGCCTGCCTGGTAAAACAGTAGCATTCGGAACTGAGAACACAGCAGAACAAGCACCATAACAGGAAAATGAAAATAAATTGATACTTGTGGGTGTACTGGTGCAAAAAGTGCTGGGCTTGAGGGGACGGTAGATTTATACTTAATGGGAGTTAAACCTGACCAGGCTTTCTACAGTGACAGGCCATACTGTGTGGGTGGGGAGAACCAGCGAGTCCGTTGTTCTCTGCCTGTTGTCCTGTGCACACTCACATCCCCTCCTTAGTCATCTTCCCCTTTCACCCTTTACTTTAACAAGGGAATGCTCAGTCTTTCAAGGGAATTACACGTTTGAGTTAATGTTTCAGTATATCATTTTCATAATGTAAATTATTTTGTAAGAGATTTACCGCTATCCCAGGATGTTTGGACTCAGCACCCCTGTGCATTTGGAAATCAATAAACTATTACTGGAAATACCATTTGTCTCTGAGTTGTGCACAAAGGACCCTGCTAGGTGTAAATATTCATGATGGTCTGCATTCTTCCCTGGGCTAATGCTGGACTGGATGGATGGTGGTGTGGTGATCAGATGTGGGCGTCTCGTTTACTCCTGACTGCTCTGGAGGGGCTTAGGAGGTCTCTGGGAAGTGGCAGAAGGAGAGACTTAAAGTCATTATTATTTAGACTGGTTTTTCTCCCTAAAGTACAATGATTCGTGCCTAGGTTAAAATTTCTAAGCAAAGTAGATTATAACCTAAAGAATGCTTAGTCCTGAATTATGTTTTCAAATAACATTAAAGCTTTACAATTTGGACTAACCAGGGGGAAGGTCAAATTGGAATTTTTACCATATTTTCTGGGGAAAAAATCATCATAGAGTGGATTACAGTTAGGCCAGCAGAATCATCCTTGTAGAAGCTTAGAAGTATACATTTGATAAACTGATGAAGAGAGATGATTAAGTTGTAAATGAAGCAATTCCAGTCCAGTTTGTAATATTACTACCAGAGGTTGCATTGAAACCAAGAGTCATATACTCAGAGGCAAAGTGTAAAAACCCAAAATAATACATACTGTGTGAATTAGAAAGTGCAAGTCTTGCCTAAAGGCATTAAAATTCAGTTTTTAAAAATCCACCCTAGGGGCCAGCCCCGTGGCCAAGTGGTTAAGTTTGCATGCTCTGCTTCTGCAGCCCAGGGTTTCACTGGTTCAGATCCTGGGCGCGGACACGGCACCACTCATCAAGCTATGGTGAGGTGGCATCCCACACAGCACAAACAGAGGCACTCACAACTAGGATATACAACTATGTACTGGGGGCTTTGGGGAGAAGAAGGAAAAAATAAAATCTTAAAAAAAAAATCCAAGGGCTGGCCTGGTGGCACAGCGGTTGTGTGTGCACGTTCCGCTTCAGCAGCCTGAGGTTCGCCGGTTCAGATCCCAGGTGTGGACGTGGCACCACTTGGCACGCCATGCTGTGGTAGGCATCCCACATATAAAGTAGAGGAAGATGGGCATGGATGTTAGCTCAGGGCCAGTCTTCCTCAGCAAAAAAGAGGAGGATTGGCACCAGTTCGCTCAGGGCTAATCTTCCTCAAAAAAAAAAAAATCCACCCTAACCCCCACCAGCAGTGTGTCTGGGGGAGCTGCAGTTTGTGAACCCTGCTCTAAATTTCCTTTTAACAAATTTGTCTCCATCAGACCCCTTTAGTTAGATGGGGACTGTGTGAACTTTGAAGAAATTGTCCAAGATCAAGAGATGGGTCACTCACTCAAGGTCACCCGGTGAGCCACCGAGATAAAGCCAGGACAGCAGACTCTCTGTCTCCTACAGCGATCATTAGGTCCTACTTCCTCCCTCCCCGGTTGCTGAGGACTCTTCTGTCTGGTGGAATGGGGTTGCCAAGCACCGAAGCGCTTGGGAGTCTCAGTCTTGTCACAAACCACAATGTGTTTGGAGGTTTTCTTCCCTGCTTCCTGGTGCCAGGAACTCAACACCACAGCCCGTTGCCCCAGCCCGTTCTCATTTTATTGTCTTTCCCTCTGAAAGCTACAATTCTTTGTTTCATTGATCTTTGCTTGGTCTGACTTACAGGTGCCCCCATTTCCTTTATGCTCATAAAAGGGTGAAATTGCAGCTTGTCTGGAATATCTCCTGGCCTTAACAAGGCGGCAGAGCTAGAGACACCAGCAGAAAGTCAGGCTGCCAGACTTAGTAAGAGAAGAAGATATCACAGAAAAGAAAACCAAAGGAGAAGACTGCTCGGCATCAATAGCTGGCCGCGCTGAGTATCTGTATTTGTTCAATATTGCGGTCTCGAGGTGTAGGTCATTCATTTTTGTTAATAATCATAGCTACCATTTAGTGAGCTCTTTCTCTGGGCCAGGCACTCTTCTAGTTGCTTTTCACATTATCTTCTTTAATTTTCACAGCACTAATATTATCATCTCCTGTTTATTGCTTAGGAATCAGATTTAGAGAGTTAAATACTATGCTCAAGCTCACACCCTAACAAACGGGTAGCTAGTATCCAAACCCAGGTCTGGCAGACTTCACAACCCTTGCTCTTCATCCCTGCTCTCCTAGCGGTGCTGACTCCGCCGTGTACTGGTGAATAACACCCCTGCCATACAAACGTAGTGTAGCTTTGGGGCAAAAGGATTGTCCTTTTTCAGGCCATGGTTTGTCCTGTCCGCGAAGTACAGTGTAAGTGAGGGAGGGAGTCCGAGGACAGCAGTGAAGTCCTCTTCTGACCTGAAACTGACTTCTGGCAGGAGGGAACTGTTAGACTTGCTTTATCTCCTTTATTCCAAGGCCATAAATAACGAAATCACCAGGAGAGGCAAAGCCGTGGCTTCTTTTGCCATGGTTTTAGAATCCCGAAAGTCAGCCAGCTCTGACACTGAGTCTGTAATTTAATTAAGCATCTTGAAGGTGTCTCCAACAGCTTGACATCACGCCAGCTTTGTCTTCTTGGAAAGGGACTGCAAAAGGAGCATGTCTCTTTTCTAGTTCATTTAGGTGTTTAGCCATCAGGCCACAGCATACCACTTGCCTACAAAAACAGCCCACAACCTTCACACCATTTTAGGGGTTTAGTAGCAACCATTTGCCTAGGGTTCAGCCATCTGTCGGCTTCGCCTATCCCTGTTTCCTGAACATGAAATCCAAACAAGAGCTTTGACAATGAGTAACTGAGGCAGAACTAGAAAAATCGGGAGCCTCTGCTGGACCCCTTCAAAAATGACTGAGAACTAGGAAATAAACAAGGCGTCTGGCCAGTTGAAATAAATACTGTGAAACAAACACAACAGGGAAGCCATGCATCTACCCATAAAGCACCTACTCAGAACCTGTTTGTTCCGACTTCACACATAATTCTAAATGTTTGATGTCTGATTTCCAAGCCAACAGCACGTTAAATTTAAGGGTGAGAAACAGACTTCTAAAGGAAACTCAGGCCAAGAACGAGAAAGAACTGACAGCAACAGAGGAGACAAAAAATTTTAAGTAGACTGAAGAGTTCAAAAAGTACTGTTTTAGGGGGACATTTAGTGCCAGGAACAGCTCAACCCGTGAAAGCCTCGTTGTACCGTGGGACAGTATAATTATGTTCAAAACGGTGACTCAGAGCATCACAGCTAAGAAACTAAGTTATGCTCAGAAGAAGGCCAGAATTTGCATGTCAAACATTTTAGGAATGTTTATTTCACAAATGATAAAAAACAAAAACACATTTTGGGGGTTAAAAGAAATAAACTTTGGACTCTCCAGAACATTTAGCTAAACAAAACAAACATCCCCCTACCTGAGGTTCTGTCCTTCCGTGAGCCTCTCGTGTTTAGGGAGTTTTTTCATAGCATTATAGGTGACTTTCATGCCACAGTGCTTTGCATAAATGGCATGAACAATGGAAGTGCCAAGTTTTAAATGTGATGAATAAAACTAATAACCAGAATACAGGTCAAATTCTGTTACAACAAATAGTGCTACTATCAAAATCATTTCAGCATCCCTGTTATCTCTAAGCCCTTGTCAATTGCCCATTTATTTCAAGCAATAGTTATTACAACAAAATTGAGAGTATAATAAAAAGAAACTAGACCCTCACCACAAGTGGGTGTAACACAATTTAACATGTAGTAACGGATTCTCACTTTTATTTGTCCAGTTCTCTGCTGCAAGAAGAAACCAAATGTAGACATACCACCAGCCTGGGAGGCTGGTGTTTAGCACTTGTTGCTAGGAGAAGAGAGAATTCAGAAGCAGAGGACACATGGAGTTGTATGGCAAACCCTCACCAGGGGATTTGGTCTCCAGGGCCACTTTTGACCTTAATCCATGTCGGAGTCATCAACCACAGAGTGCCTGCTTCTAATAGTGATGTAATGCATATATTAAGCCCTAGAATGAAGACATGATTCATTTCCCATGGATCATTGAGCACTGTGGCAACCTGGCCCTGATCTGATGACCCTAAGATCAAGAAATCCAGAAGCATGTGACTGAAACTGTCCTTTCTCCCATGATGCACTGCTTTCAACACTGCGTGATGGTCAAAGCGCTCGCCACGTTGATTATATATAGAAATGATCTAAGTTCATCAGCTGCATTCCACTTGGTTTACAGGCAGGGATTTTTCCATGCCTGTCTGTTTTTTCCTGGTGGCAATGGTGTTTTGTCATTTGCTACATTTTCTTTTTTTTTTTTAAAGATTGGCACCTGAGCCATCAACTGTTGCCAATCTTCTTTTTTTTTTCTGCTTTTTCTCCCCAAATCCCCCCAGTACATAGTTGTATATTCTGGTTGTGGGTGCCTCTGGTTGTGGCATGTGGGACGCCGCCTCAGCACGGGCTGATGAGTGGTGCCATGTCCACGCCCAGGATCCAAACCAGTGAAACCCTGGGCCGCTGAAGTGCAGCGCACAAAGTTAACCCCTTGGCCACGGGGCTGGCCCCTACATTTTCTTTCTTTTTCTTTCCTCCTTCCTTTCCTCCTTCCTTTCCTCCTTCCTTCCTTCTTTCTTTTCTTCCTTCATTTCTTTGTTTCTGTCTTTGCTTCTTTCTTTTTTACTTAAATAATTTTTATGTCTACATTGCAACCAACATTTTGTAACACCCTTAGCAGCAGAAGGGATTAAATCATAATTCACTTCTGAACAGTACAATTAGCAAAAGGAAAAGGAGGGGGCAGGGAGAGGGAAATTGTCCACCTTTTCCCAATGGTGATGCCTGGCTCAGACCCCAAGTTCACATCACACTGTGAAGAAGTTCGTAAATTCTGGGCGCTGCTCAACTCGAGGAGGCAGGCAGTGTCTCTGTGGCTCAGGCAAGACGAGTGGTCTTTTGAAGTCATGCCATCACAGAATATGTTCACCTCTGCTTGCTTTCTCCCCCAAGCCAGAGACTAGTTAAACATTTACGTGCCCCAGGCAGGCCAGGAGATTGGATTAAAAAGAGTTTGAATAGGGGCCGGCCA